GTAAAAGTGAGAAAACTCGTGGGTTGAGATAAAGACAGTTTAATAGGGAAAGCAAAAGCCATGCACGCAAGCAAAGCAAAGCAAGGAATTCATTCACTCCTTCCCACCAGCAGGCAGGTGTTCAGCCATCTCCAGGAAAGCAGGGCTCCATCACGCGTAAGGGTTACTTGGGAAGACAAACGTCATCACTCCGAACATCCCCCCCTTCCTTCTTCTTACCCCAGCTTTATATGCTGAGCATGACGTCATATGGTATGGAATACCCCGTTGGCCATTTGGGTCAGCTGTCCTGGCTGTGCTCCCTCCCAGCTTCTTATGCGCCTGGCAGAGCATGGGAAGCTGAAAAGTCCTTGACTATAGGCTACTTAGCAACAACTAAAAACATCACTGTGTTATCAACATTCTTCTCATACTAAATCCAAAACACAGCACTATACCAACAACTAGGAAGAAAATTAACTCTATGCCAGGATGGTATACCATAGTGCCAAATGTCTTAACAGATTAAACCTGCTTTCAGCACCTTATGGCGCAGGTGACCCAACATGTGAGTACATTTTGAACGGTGCATGTCCGGACATGGTTTGGACTGGGAAATACAAGCTCCTGAGAAGGACAGTTGAAAGAAGCAACAGGTCTCCACTCCCAGACAGTCCTGAAGGCCTCGGTCAAAAGGACTCATGGAAACAAGCTGCTGAGGACTAGGTGATAACAGTAACTTGGCTTTGAAACAACATCTTCAGGCTCCTCTGCTGAACTTGCTGAGCCTTTGTGAAGCTATAAGGGAGAGAGGACTGCAACCTGGATCTCATTTTGGAAGGCTGCCAACCCCAAAATCTTCAGTAATTTCAACATGGGGCCTCTCACTCTAATCACTCTTGTCCACCCTTCTCTGGGTTGCACTCTAGGGGGGAACCATGTCAGCATCGTGCTCTGTTTAGAGTTATTTGAATAATCTGCCTTGCTTGTACAAATGCCAGGCTGATATTTACTGCCGGTGCCAGGGCTCAGCCATGTCCCTTAGAGATGCTGTAGAAGGTCACCAAAGGTTGGAAGGACAGCTGAGCTGCCCTGTCCTTTTGTAGCCCCTGCCCTGCTTGCTATTACATACAAATAAATTTCCTTACAGAAGGACTGTTGGACCTGTGTGGGTGGCAGTGGTGGTGGAAAGCAATTTCTAAAGAGAATAAATAGTTTCTGCCTGGATACAAATACCTAATTTGCTTTCTTCCTTTCCATGTATGAAGAGTCCTCACTTTTCAGTGCAAGTAGCTTGGATCAGATATAAGGCAGGAACCGGGTCTGGATGCTGTTCCTTGCTCCCCCCATCCTGCTGTATGGTCTCACGTTAGTCCTTTGATCTCTGTTTCCTGAGCTCCCAAACACCCTGAGGCACCGTGACTTTCCTTTTGGTGTCTGAGCAGGACAGAGCCCCACAGGTTCCTGTACTTTGTCCTACCATACCAAACGATATTGCATCTACAATGGTTTAAGCATTAAAGACTCAGCTGTATCTTTTTTGTGCGGTGCCTGACAGTGCTTAGTGAAGCCATGAAATGGATAGTCAGAAGGGGATTGAACTTGTTTTAATTTCTGAAAATACAGTTTATATTCATGTCCATACTTACATTCAGAACCAATAAATATACACAACAGCTTTCCAGGACTTCACAATCATCGTCACTTACATAATAATAGAGTGGTTACATTACATTTTATATGCGGTTTGGTTTAGAATGTGAAAGTATTATGAATCCTTTCAACAATGTTTTCCTAGTCTTGTTTTTATTCTTTCTTTGAAAGATTCCTGAATACTGTGAGTGTCTTCTATGGGTTAATGAGAGTAAAACAATGTAAATGGAGTACACAGCACTCTATAACCATGGCTCATACACAATTTCACGATCAGTGCTGTGGCTTTTTTTGTATGAAACTTCCTCTTAAGAAACAGTGTTTTTCTTTTAAGAGATCCCCTTAAAGACTACCAAAGATATTATCTGAGCTGTTTTCTGCTTTGAGCTGATCCCAACAGTGCAAAGCAGCCATAAACTCGACTTAACAAGGTAGTTAAAACAGGTTTAGTGTTGTTTTGCATCTCGAGCAGTACAAATCTGGCAGTGTGTACCAGTAAATCAGTTCTCTAGAGTACAGAAAGTGGTAACACATGTCTGACTTAACTAAAACACAGTCCAGTATAGCCCATAACACTTTTAGCTGGGAAAGGGAGGGGAGTGAAGAGGAGTCTATGTACATTTATTTGAGCTTGTGAGTCTCCAGATTTTAACTTTGCTATGAATTCATCTCTCCTTTAAGTCCCCAAGTTCTCCAGGTCTACAAGTGCTTTGCAGTACCAAACCATGCCCTTAGACCTTGCTAGTCTGCATATGTCCATTGAATTCAATATTTCTCTGGGTTAACATTGATTCCTGCAAGCGGCTGCTGTTCTCTTGCCTGTGTTCAATGGGGTCACCATCCTCTACACCGTTGCCCTTTCGGAGGCAAAGGACTTTCTGAAAACTCTGCTTGAAGTTGTCAGAAAGAAATCCATAAAGAATGGGGTTGGCGCAGCTGTTTGCATAGGACAGGACCACCACAAAGAAGTACACCCCTACCAACACAGGGTCTTCTGGCAGTATAAATATCAAATTGACAATGTTCATCATGTAAAATGGGAGCCAGCAAAACACAAAGACCACCACAATGATCACCACCATCCTGGTCACCTTCCTCTCTGATCTCCTGCGCCTCGTAGACCCAACTCGGATCCCCGAAGATTTGACTTTAATCACGATCAGCAAGTAGCAGAGACAGATGACCAACAAAGGTCCAAAAAAACCAAGGACTGATGTGTAAATGATGAACGCTGCTGACCAGATGTTGACGGGCTCTGGCCAGTTCATGTTGCAGGTGTGAAAGTCTTCCTGCACGTCCGAAAAGATGATGACTGGAAGCACCACCAAGAACGAGAATGTCCAGACAGTCACGCTGATGAGCTTGGCCACCCTGGGACGTCTCCACTTGGTTGATTTAATGGGATGAACTACTGCCAGGTAGCGGTCCATGCTCATCACAGTCAAACAAAAAATACTAGTGAATTGGTTAATACCATCTACAGTCATAACCAGCCTGCACAAAAAAGAGCCAAAAGGCCAATAGGAGATGGCGTTCTGGGTGGCCAGGAAGGGCAGGCCCAGCATGAAGAGTACGTCGGCAACGGCTAAATTCAAGATATATATGTTGGTGACGGTTTTCATCTTGGCATAACGTAAAACCACATAAATGACCAAGGTGTTGCCGCTGAGCCCGACTGCACATACGAGGAGGTAACAGATAGGAATCAGGACTTTGTGGATGTATTTGAATGAGGGCTGCTCTGAGAGCGTCCCGTTCTCTGTCACATTTGTCAGCAGTGAGGAATTCACATCGCTGGAACTAGCTTCTGTGCTAAATGTGTTGGAAAAGTATAAAGGATCCATAACTTTTACTCCTCAGTTTTTCTTTTAAGGCTAAGAGAGATTAAACTTCATGGGCATCTTGTTCCTAGAAAGAAAAAAAAAAAAAGGAAGAAAAAGAGAGAAAGAAAGAGTGAATTCAAAGTAGACTAAGTTTTACACATCATTTAATTTTCTATCTATAGTCAGAATCTGTGTTTGAATTATGCAGTTAGCACGTGTGGTGAGATCAATGCCTGAACAAAGGAATTGCACAATGAGAGAGCCCAAGTGCTCATCCCAGTAGATGGTGGTATCTGTTTAATTTTCACAAGCTCCATGCAGTGGGGTCAGGGCAGGCTGTAACTGTGAAGATGGGAGGCTGCTCGGCAGTAACGCAGCATGCATCCCGCTGGGAAACGCAAGCGAGAGGAGAGAGGGTGATGGCCATCACACTTCACAGTCAGAGACAGGAGCTTTCCTGCAGCGAAGGAGTCTGAATGCCCCGACATGTGGGCCGCCTGGGTCCAAAGCCTGCTGGTAACAAGGTCAGTCCTTCCTCTGCTGGTGAGAAATGTTAATTTTTGCATGCCTCCTGTGTCACTTGGCAAGCAAACTTCACCGTTTGACTGTCTCACTCTCCGTAACCTGTCGTACACACATTTTCCTCTTTTGTGAAATCAAGGAGCAGGGGGGATAATACCCTCTACTTCCCAACTTGCACAAAAATACACAAATCCAGAACCCACCTTTCCTCCTAGCTTTCTGTCTAAAAACTGATTCAGAAAATGTTAGAAGAAAATTTTGAAAGACTCTGACCGAACAGCGCATACAAATCAGACTGAAAGCAGAGCCCTGGCATTAGTGCCAAAAGCTTTAAAGTCCGCTTAGGTGCAATTCTGCTGTCGCTTAGCAGAGGGTGCCTGGAGAGGCTCAGGGTCTGAGCCCTGTCTCACTCCGGTGCAAACTCTGGGTGCTTTCAGAATCCAGAACCAAAGACAGTTCCTGGCTCTTCTTATCTGAAGCTCCACTGCGATCTTTCACAGGTCTCCCTGTTTGCATAGAAACAGTCTCAGTTTGATATATTCAAATGCCACTTACTGCCTGGCAGAACCAATTGAGAAGCCCTAGGGAACATCAGCAGCTGTGTAGGTGGGGAAACAAAACCCTCCATAACAGCCGACAAAACCCTAGAAAAAAAATCAATGAACTCCAAGGTGGAAAGGAGCATGTCTGAGAACACTTTTCAGTCGGGTCAGGCCATGTGCGCGCAGATGTGAAGACTGCAATGGAAAGGAACAAGCTAGGGTTTTTTCCATCTCTCAAGACTATTCTTCTATTAGTGCTTCTGAATCCCTCTCCTCTCACCCTGAAGTGTGGTTTTTGTCTAAGAAACACCTTTCTTCTGCAAAAAATACAAACTGCAGTGGGCAGCTTCAGGACACAGGCAGCTGAACAGATTTGGTGATAGAATATGTTTTATTAGACAATCTGAAAAGGGTTGAAAATTTCCAACACTCTGTTTCTGTGGCATGCTTGATTCACATGAATATTTTTTCGTTCTTTGTCTGAACATGGTCTAAGTAGGTGTTTATAAAGCTTTCCACTATAAAAAAGTTAAAGCATCTGCTGTGAAAGAGTGGAGATTAAAAACACCGATCTGGCCCAAGATCTCTCCCAAGTCTGGCCAGCAGACAGTGATGAAGGTGCTCAAGGAGGATGTGCCCAGCAACTGTTGTTCCCATTGCCTGATGGCTGGGTTTCCATAATAGTCTGGGGGCATGAATCTGGATTCAAAAACACCCAGCCCACACTGCACCTATGCCTTTCAAGCAAAAGCAAAATTCAACAGCATGTAAGCATGCAAGAGACTTCTTGTCTCCAAGAGGAATGCGAACACCTCCACGGGCTGGTTACTGTGCTTTCTCTTTGGGTGAGAAAAACTGCAGTGGGTGAGAGTAGAAGTCCCTCCAGCTACCAGCAGCAATCATAAATATGCTGTTCTGATTTGGAAATGTGCAGATGGGAAGTAGGTGTCTCACATGTAACTCCGTGGCCGGGAGGAGATGTACCAGAGAAATCAGAAATCCAGGGTGGCTGGGATGGTAAAGCTGAGAGAGCTGCCAAAGCTCAAACAAATGCTGGCTTGAAGATGGAGATGAGAAAGGGGCAGGGAGGATCTGCAGGTTCTGAATATGCTACTGTGGTGTTTGGGGTGTAGGTATTGCAGCCACAGGCTACAGGAGTCATTGCAGTCCCTGACAGCACACTGCAAGGAGAGGTCAGCTGAGACCATGCTCCTTGTGAATTAAACAGGACTAAACTTACTGCTTATATAAGAAAAGGCAAACTCCAGTTCTGGCCAAAGAATGGACTTTTTAATTCTGTTCTGACACTAATTTTATATTATAAAGTTGTATTAAAATTCAGCTTATTTGTGGGGGAAATCTGGGAGAAGCCAAAGCAGCACCATACTCCTCTTGGGCTGTGAGAGTTTTGATCTTTGGAAGACTGCATTTTCTTGCAACACAGATGCTGCGTGACCCAGCTGGTTAGCCAGTATCTTTGAAGGGAATAATATAAAGGAAATGGGTGGTGGGATGGGGCAGTTGGTGTTTATAAACTCCTATTCATGGAACTGCATCTTTGGGACCAAGTACGGTGCTGACATTGGGAAGGCACTTCTTCCCAGACTAGCGCAGCAACATCCAGTCTGGGCCAAAAAGCGAAATTTTTGTTCTGGCACTGCAAAAATAGGAGGATAATAAAAAGACCCAGGGCTGCCACTCAGCAGGGGAAGGTCAGGAAATGCAGTCATGCATGGCTCTGGTCCTAGTGTTATAAAAAAAATGAGGATGGACATCTTTCTTCTAAAGTTACCTCCTTTTTCCCCATAGTACACATCCTTGAAATTGTTGACTATAAAATTACGCAGTAAGTCCTTCAAGCCTGTTGCTCCTTCCACCGCATGTAGAGTTCAAGCCTGGGGAGAAGCACTGAGGAAGAGGAGTCCCTTTATGTGGATAACCTGCTGCACAAAATCTCTGCTTGCCAAGGGCCTCAGGTTCTTTATTCCTGATGCACCCAAAGGTCTTTCTTGAGGGACCTTTGTGTGTCTTCCATGGAGGGGACAGCTCTTCCAGCCTCCTTCAGCAGCAGCTGTAACAGTCTCCTGCTGCTGTGCTGTCCCCAGGAGTCAGTGATAGCTCAGCAGTCTGCTGCTTTAGTATCTTAGGGCTCTTCTCTTTGTTCTGTGTGAACATTAATCTTTACTCTCAGTTTTTTTGTTCCACTGGATGAATTTTGCACCTTTCCCTTCAACAGCGGGTGGATTCAGAAGGAAATGCATTTGCTAAGGCTCTCATGAAAACTCTTTAGTCTCTTCATTTGGTGACAGCCTGCAGGTTGGCAGCATCAGCAAGAAGCTGCCCTCATCTGAACATTTCCCATACACTGGCTGGGGATGGGATGTGCTCAGAGTCATCCAGGTCTGAAAACTGAGCCCTGATCTCCCGAGTTCCCCTAGAAAGATTTATCCACTAAGCCATTGAAAGCCATTGAAACCTCATTGCCTTTGCCTTGTAGCCACTGGCATTTTGGGATTCAGTATGGCATGGCAACAATAAAAAAACCTGAACAGCTGCAAAAGCGTGTTTTGCCGGCTGTCTTTGATGAGCATAGATAACTTTTCTCGCTGTCTAGCTGATAGCTTGCCCCTCACCAGCAGAATTTTGTCTGAATTTATATTGCCACTACAGCAGTTAATGACCATGAACCTCAACAAAGGATGACTAAATATAATTAAGTCATGCTGATTGATACCTTATACACTCATTTTGGTATTCTTAATTAATGGATTAATAAAAGACACACCCCTAGGGGACTTTCTCCCATCCAGATTTTTTTCCCTTTGGTGATTGATCTCCAAGACATCATACTGGTATACTTCATAAATTATGTGCTTTCTGCTTAAAACACATGAACCAAAAAGGACAATGGAGCTAAGAACATAGATCCAGAGTGATCACTAGCATAATTCCAAGTTCTCCTTTTACAGACCAGTACCCTAAAAAAAAAAAAATAGGCATCCACTGCAGCTAAACATATCTGACTGCCTGTGTCCCTGCCCAAGAAAACTGAGACAAGAAATAGCAGAGGTGTTATGGTACAGACCATTCTGCTCAGAAGAAGGTATTTAGCCTTTGTGAACACTTCTCTATCAGGTGTCCTAAACAAACATGCTTTTGCTGGGCACAAGAGCAGGCATCCATCTAACAGCACACAGGAGCCCATTAGTGACTGAAGCATCATCACAACATAAGAAGAACAAACCTTAAAAGTGTCCAGGCAGATCAAGGTTGAAATTCTCCTGGCTGTGGTTACAATAGCAAAGCAAAAATAACTCTATAAAGTACATTGCATCAGAGTCAAAGCTGGGTATAGCTGGGATCAAGAAGGAATTACATAAAGAAACCTAATTTTATGAGTCAAGATTTGATCTCGCTGCCTATTTATCACTGGAATCATAACTCTCTTATGCAGCATCAAACATAATTGCTGTGAAGAGAATTACGACAACAGAACAGCAGATTACTGCTTCCAGGTGCAGAATAACCAGCAGAAACAGACAAAATGGCAATCCAGACAGATATGCTTTTAAAACAGATGGCCTTGGTAATAATGGGAAGAAAAGCACCTGGATAAATATCCAAGAAATATCTAATAGCAGCAGATCTTCATGTTTTTCCCCCCTGTCCCATGGAGTTGGCCACAATGTGTTAGTGGAGCAATTTGCTGTAACAAAGCAACAAAAAACTCTCCTGGTCCTTTAGTAAATTTGCCCTTTTGGGCATGAGTATTCATCACCTGCTCCTTCAGATACAACCTGTAGGGCCTCGTGCTTTGCATTTGCATGGATCGAGTAGGCAGAGCCAAGGGTTGCTGCTGCAGGAGGGAGAGGGAGCTGCTGGTGGAAGGGGAAGGGAGGGAGGTGGTGGTGTGAAAGTTGGTGTGACCTGGCAGAGCAGCTCTGAAGTAACACCAAC